ACCAATAACTCGCCTTTTTATATACCTGTAAATAAATGGAATGTTTTTAAGAATATAATTATGTCAGATTTAGCATTTTCTTTTATATATTAAATATATATCTTTCATTTCTGCTTTTGAAAGTGATTATTTTTTTAGAAATAACAGAAGTTTGGCAGTTGAAAGGCAAGACATGTGAACCTGAAATAAACCAGTTATACTAATTAAAACAGAACTTGGTGTTGGGAGGTTTGTGCCTGATTGAGAATTCTTAATACCCTCAGATTTGAGAAACGGTGCTTTTGAAGTGACCTTTTAAGAAGCTTCTTGTCCTTCAAGCTATCAGTGTGCCATTTGGGAAGACCTTGGTGACAAATATTTGCTACTCTATAGTGAAAATGGTTTCATAGTACCACGGTGTGCAAGGCAGTTTATCTGTTACTTTGAAGAACAACAGGACAAACACAATCTAGTGGCTAGGGTCAGTAGGTATTTTTTTAAAATTTCCGGTTGTATTGGGCGTGTGTGCCATGGTGTGCATGTGGAGATCAAAAACAACTTTGTGGAGTCACTTCGCTCCAAGCAGTAATTGAACTCATGTCTAGCATTCCCAGCAAACACTTTAATTCACTGAGCCATCCTGACTCCCTCCCCCTCCCACCGCCCTGAACACACACCAATACAGTTTCTCTTGTGTAGCCTTGGCTGTCCTGGGACTCATTCTAGACCAGGCTGACCTCGAACTCAGAGATCTACCTCCTTTGCCTCCTAAGTGCTAGGAATAAAGGCATACTCCACCACCACCCAGCCACGGAGTGTTCTAATGGAGGAGTCTTTTTAAATATTGAATGGTTCCTGATTTATTTAAGGTAATTGATAGATCGTGTATAAGCTTCATAAGAAGTGTTTACTGATGAAATGGTAATAGATTCTATAGGACTTATCTACCCTAGCTAGTTCCCAAATTGACACAGAGACTGATTTATAAGCTTTAAACCACCATAACTGGGCAACTATCAACCTCCTAAGCTCTTTCGCTATTTCTCCGCCACACACCCCAAGTTACTTTCCTCAATCAGTCTTGTCTGGGCTGCTTCTGTCAGACTACTAGTTTTTTCTAGTGGAATTGTATGATCAGTGCACCCTGAAGACAAGTCTGGAAAACGGAGCACTTGCCTTCTTCCAGAATTAAGTCATGTGTAGGCAGTTCATTTTCAGGAACTTGAAGTTTATGTCCTCAGTTTCATGGAGATTCATTGGTACTCAAGGAGTCAGAGTAAAACTGCACAGAACTGTTGGTTTTGAAGAACCTGCTTCTAAGGTCTTTTTAATAATCTGCGTTGTAACATTTCTAATTAAACTCAAATCCACATGAGCTAGGAGGACAGTTGAGTCAGGAAAAGTGCTTTCCTCCCAAGTATGATGACTGGACTTCAATTCTTAGAACCCATGTGAAAATGCCAGGTCTGTACTCCAGCGCTGGGAAGGTGCAGGCACAGGAGGATCCCTGGGGTTCTCTGGCCCGTTAGGTTAGCCAGTGAGAGACCCTCTTCTGACAATTTGGTGGCATGCATTAGGATAGCACAAGTTGTCCTGTAGTCTCCATAACCACATAAAGCTACAGATGCACCTGCACACACACCCAAATTTACACATGCATGAATGGTTTAGAGTAAGCTAGGGCTGGTGAGATGACATTAGGTGTAGGTGCTTGTTGCCAACCTGATGGCCTGAGTTCAGTCTTCAGAAGCCACATGGTGGAAGGTGAGAACCAGTGTGTGCCATGGTATGTGCAAGAACCCCCTCAACATAGAAATAACAGAATCCCCATATTTTACACCATGGTCTACGTAGTGCAGGCCAACCAGGACTCCATAGTTAGACCCTGTCTCAAAAGAGACATACCTTTATTCCCGCACTTAAGCTGATGAGTTCAAGGCTACATAGTTTCAGGCTAGCCAGAGCTGCATAGTGAAGCTAAGATAGGTAGAATTGTTGCCTGTTGACGAAGAAGGTGAGTTAAAATGCATATTGCAAGTAGTTTTTATATATGCAATTATAAAAGCTAAAGTATAACAGCATATTTAAAACTGCCTTACAGAGACACAGTGTTAAAGAGGCTAAACCATAAGAAGGTGGATATTTTGAGACAAATCTAAACTATTAATATTCTATCATTGTAAATTCATAAAACAGTATTTTTTCCCCCTCACCAACGGAAAAGCAGCTTTGGAAGCATTGACCTGAAATCCATCTTGTTCCCAACTGCATTCATTGATCATAGCTATCTTGTAGTGCCTTGCATGTAAAGGTGCTCAATAAATATTTGAATTTATGAGCAAGTGTTTATTCTAGCATGCTAATTTCCCAGGATCTCTGCACCTTCTTTGCTTAGGGTTAATTTTAAAATCTAATAATTCTAAGCAAGACCACTATAAAATTCCCAAAACATTTTAATCTTTAGAGTCTGGTAGACACCGTGTCCACTTACTTTGGACATATACAATCAGAATACTTCCATGGAGGTCGTCTGCATTTTGGAGAGCAGGATGGCATTTGAGTAAAGAGACTTACTGCCTCTCTTCACAGTGCACTTGGACATGGTTTTGAGGAATCCATGAAGCACAAACACACTTCACTCTATATCCCCATCCTAGCATTTCAAAAGCAGCATGGCACTTAACACTAAGGTCTGCATGGATTAGGGAGAATTTTAAAAGTGATTTTTGGCCTTAGCCTGAAACTACCCAATTTCAAGAGCTGTTCCCCCACTATATTTTCCCAGTTTTTCAGCTTAGACGAGTGTCGTCTTTAAACATGGGAAGCAAGTGTTTAGATTTGCCTGTGCAACTCAGACCAGATGAGAGTAATTGGCAGGGGTGGGGGATGGTGTCTCATAAACCAGAGTAGCTTTGGATGAAATAGGACACCTTGCAAACCCATTTACTATCACTCAGTGAGAAGTGAGAAACAGAAATTTGCCTAAAGAAGAAATGGTAGCCGGCTGTGGTGGCACATGCTTGTAATTCCAGCACTCTGGGAGGCAGAGGCAGACGGATCTCTGGGAGTTTGAGGCCAGCCTGGTCTACAAAGTGAGTCCAGGACAGCCAAGGCTACAGAGAAACGCTGTCTTGAAAAACCAAAAAACAAAATTGAGGGGTCTGGAGAGATGGCTCAGAGGTTAAGAGCACTGGCTGTTCTTCCAAAGGTTCTGAGTTCAAGTCCCAGCAACCACATGGTGGCTCATAACTATCTATAATGAGATCCTGTGCCCTCTTCTGGGCAGAAGATTGTTTAAATAATAAATAAACATTAAAAAAAATGATTACCCCCCCCCGCCCGTCAGCGCACAGATATACTTATTCTCTGTAGTACACAACTTAGAACACCAGGTGGCATCATTGTTAGCAATGTTACAGCAGCTTTTGTGGACGGGTCAAATCATAGATTATCAATTGTGCTTGAGTTTAAGAATCACCTGTTTAAACAGTTACAGCTGATCCTTGCTGTCTGCAGGTGTAGGCACAAACTTTCCAGTCCCACTTTAGTTTTATTAGATCTGTAACATGTGGTTGAAAGGATAGAGGCCTTGGGCCTCTAGTTGCTGTTGCCAGTTGGTAGCATCTCTTAATTTCCATGTCAACGTGTGAGCTTTATACATTTGTTTTTAATACGTAGCTATATAGTACATAGGTGATTTCCTTTTTGAACAGGGATTGTGCAAGTACAACTAAACACCCGATTTTTAAGGATCCTTCCCTCTTACTAATCTACCATTTTCTGCAGCAATTCCCAAGGTCAGGGATGGGCGAGATACATCAGTGTACTGTTTCACAGTTCAGGCCTTTTGGCTTAAGCTAGTCTTTACAGAAGGCAATTTCTTTTTCTTTTTTTAAATCATGTGTATGGGTGTTTTCCTATTCTTAAGTCTCTGCACTCTTGTTCCTGGTGCCTGGGGTGGAGTCCAGAAGAGGGAAAGATTTTGAGATACCACGAGTGTGCTGGTAATTAAACCTTCAGTCTTCCGCAAAAGAAGCCAGTGCTGTTAATCACTGATCCATCTGTCCAGCGCCCCCACCCCTACCCCCACCCCTGGTAATTTCTCTAAGTAGTAACTAGATGAAAAATTCTAGTTGACTTACATATCTACGAAGCATGGGCACGTGATATTTCCCCTATCTCCATGAACTGGAAAAAACCGATAGCATCAAGCTTGATATCAGTGTCAGCTGTAGTGATGTTTGCAAATTTTTAAAAGTCCGAGAAAAAAGATCTAGTATAGCAAAATGTGGTTAACCCTGTGGTGGCTAAGGAAATGCTGTATTATGTCACGGTTTGCATTTGATTGCTTTCTCTGTGCTCGGCATACCTAAGGCTCCTTTGGAGGCTAGAGTCCATCAGTAACAGGTTGTCCAGTTCAAAAGTGTATGAATTGAGTTACTTACACGTGAGTCATTGTGTTAGGACGGCTGTAATCAGAAACTATTCCAACCACATTAAATCTCAGCGCTTGGAGTGGAAAGGAGTTCTTTTTGGCAGCATCCCAATTTTTTTTGGGGGGGGGAGAATTAGGAATTAAATTTCAGCCATGGTCTCTCTGGCCTACCATATAACAACCTTAGGCCTGGGGGCGTGGTTATCGTCTTGGGGCTCTGGGGAGTTCTCTGGGGGCCAGGTCTGGTAATACCGTAAAAGGCTTGGTTCTCTCAATTCTAAAGCCATGTTAATGTTCACCTTCCTTTAAGAGCGGTGTCCACAATTACGCTGTGCAGAATCCCCAGCCCTCTGCCTCCGAGGCTCGCTCCTTGGCCCCGCCCCGCAGGCATCACTCGCCCAATCGGAAGTCGAGCTGCCACAGGCTGCACGCCCTTTGCCGAGGCCCCGCCCTCCCGGCACGCAGCTGGGCCCAGGCTCTAGTTCGCGTTTTGAGCCGCTGGTGCCACCATAGCTGCTGCTGCGGCGGCGGCGGCGGCGGCGGCGGCGGCCGAGCTGAAGCCGTCGAGCTCGATGCCCGAGGGCGCTGTGAGCTGGGCCCGAGCGAACGGGGGCGCTGACGAGTAGTAGGGTTCCTGAAGCGGGCGCTGGGTGTGGGGACGGGAAGGGGGCTCTCACGGCCGGGGTGGGCAAGGGAGGCTCCTGCATCCGAGCGAGGCGCACGAGCCCCGGCAGCCAGCGCAGGGCTCCGGACCCTTACCCGGGTGGCTTCGGCGGCCTTCTCCCTTGGACACCGCAGTTACCATGGGAACACTTGGCCTGTAACCGGCGCCAGACTGGTCACCAGCCCTCCTAGAGCCCATCCCATTCTTCGGTTCAGCGCCTCTGGCAGGCGTGGGCCTGACATTTCTTCACTCCAGGGGACGTTCTCCCTCGTAAGAGATCTAGCAGGCGAGGTGGGCATGAGGAGGGGGAAAGAACAGGGTAATGCCCAGAGTAAGAGCTGCTGACAGGCACAAGAAACCTACTGGGATGCTAAGGTTGCTTCTGCCATGTCAGGCCAGTGAAAGTGCGTATCTGAAGGCCGTGTTGAGCGAGTACCACTGTTGAGACAAGTCCTGAGGCTAGGCCAGGGACTGTCCTTAGGGGCTCCTTGTTAGGATGGCCGGGGAAGGGTCAACCATTACCAGCCGCCTCAAGAACTTGCTGAGGTCCCCATCCATCAAATTACGAAGAAGTAAAGCAGGAAACCGGCGAGAGGACCTCAGCTCTAAGGTAAGTCCTGTTGGGAGCCAACTCTACCCTCTCACACCTTGTTTCTTTTTCCACCTTCCTCTTTCTTTGGGAAAAGAGAGACAGAGACGGACGGAGAGAGAGAGAGAGGATGGAATTTCTCTGTTGGCTCTGAAAGATCAAATATGTTTATCAGTGACGACCTGATTTGAAATTGGAAGAACAGGGCAGGCGTGAGTGGCGTGGGTGGGCATGCTGAGACTCAGCCATGGGAAGAAGTGCATAGGAGGAAGGCAACCTGGGTTTAACAGGACCTCAGTTCAAACCAAGTGTGTGCTTGGGGAAGCAAGTTGACATTTTATGACTCAGTTTCTCTTCTTGGAAGAGGACAGTAAGATCACATACTCTGTAAAGGACCTCACTGTGACTAATGTAGATGTAAGTAATGGTGTAACAGTTGAGGTTATAATGCCAGACTATACCAGCAAAAAGAGATATATTAAAACACTTCATCTAAGATCTCAAAACGATTTTATGACAAGCTTGGTGATGCGTGCCTGTAATCTCAGCACCTCAGCACGAGGGAGTCAAAGGCAAGTTCAGCTTGGTCTATATAATAAATTTCAGGACAGCAGGGCTACATAGTGAGACTCTATCCTGTCTTAAAAAAAAAAAAAGACATAGAAGATTGGACTGGCAAGATGGCTCAGCTGGTAACGACACTTGCTCACAAACCTGATTGATCTCTTGATTTGACTTCCTCAAACCCACAAGGTAGAAGGAGTAAACCAGCTCCTGGAAGTAGTTCCCTGGCCTCCACATGTGTGTGCGCGTGTGCGTGTGCGCGCGCGCGCGCGCACAAGCACACCCTCAAAGAAATAAATGTAGATTTTTTTATCTTCTTAAGACAGCTAAACGCTGGGCCGTGTTGGCACACACCTTTAATCCCAGCACTTGGGAGGCAGAGGCAGGTGGACCTCAATGAGTTCGAGGCCAGTCTGGTCTACAGAGTGAGTTCCAGGACAGCCAAGGCTACATGGAGAAACCCTATCTCGAAAAACCAAGAGAGAGAGAGCACACTAAATTTATTTAACTAGGGCTTCTTGGTTTCTCAATGATAACATGAAGGAGTCACATGTGTGCCAGAAGGACAGTTCTCCTGGTTTGCCCTTGCACAGTGTTTATTCTGGTTGCTGTGTGCCGGAATCCTTTTTCTGGGCAGATGTTTATCCTTCATACTTATACCTGTCTGGGTTTTGGTCCTTACACTCATTTTTTATTTGTTTGGCTTTGGTTTGGTTTTGTTTCAAGGCAGAGTCTTGTTACATTGTACATTGAGATGGGTTCAAACTACAACCCACTGCCACAGTGTCCTTAGAGCTGGGGTTTCTGGCAGGCCCAGCTTATGCTTTATTCAGCTTTGATGGTGCCCACAATTCTGAGCATACAAAAGTAGAATACAATTATTTAATCCTTTGAGGGAATCTTGAGCACTGTTCCCACAGGACTAGAATAGGTTTTGTGTCCTATGAGCAGCCTGTAAACATCAGAACTTTGTGTGGTACAGGATTGCCAAGAGCAGAGTCCTTTGAGACGGCAGCGTCTTATTACTTTGCCCGTGACTCTTCAGAGATGAGCAAACCTGATTCAGGAAGATTTCGATCTACTGTACAACAGGGGAGAGTTCTGGCAGGACTTGGCGGGTCCCTTAGCAGAGGCATAATTGGCTTTGGTGAACAGCTTTCCTGTATGTTCTAGCAGGTATGCTGTGGAATTAAAACTTGCCGCTTGTTTTTATGCTGGTGGCGTTGGTGCCTCTTACAAGGATTATCATTAATAATTGTTCCTGTTCTCTAGAGGCAAAAGAATGGGTCCTCCAACTTAGAAACTCTTAGATACAACTCTTTGCCCATTCTTTTTTTTTTTTAACTTTTATTAATTATTATTATTATCATACCGTGATGTGTGAGAGCAGGCACACGTGTGCCGTGGTGCTGTTGTGAAGGTCAACATGGCAATTACTTTTACCTGCCACGCACGCCACCTTACTGGCCCTAAAGATGTAGCTCTAGCTGCCTTCCAACACCTGACCCTCCTGTCTCTTATCTCCTCAGCACATCCTGCTGATATTCCCATCCCAGCAGGCACCTTTGCTGACTCATAGCAGCGCTATTAGACCAATTTTCTCTTATCTTTGGGTTCTTTTTCTGGCCAGGATTGGCACACATAGTAGGGATATATCATGGAAGTGTAGCCTGTAGTACTTATCTCGAAGTGGTCTAGAATCTGGAAGATGCCACGGCCATTCTTTAAGACTTTCCACGTCTGTCATTAATGTGCTCAACAAGTGTTTGTTGAGTGCCTATTGGGTGAATAACCAGTGGTAAATAAAACATTCTTGCCACCAAGGAGCTTGTAGCCAAATTAGACATTAAAGAAGTAATTACAACCAGATTTGGTAAGTGAGTGCTGTTCATTAACTAAGCTGTTAATGGGGTTACAGGGGAAATAAATTAGGAAAGACTTCACAGAAGACGGGATATTTGAGCTGAGTCCTGAGGCAAGAGAGGAAAACATTCTAGGAAAACAGTAAAAGGAAGACATTTCTGACATCACCATTAAACATCCTTGTTCCAAGCAGGAAATCAGTGCTGACCTTTTAACTGGTGTCATGAGTTGTCTTTGTGTACCTAGCTTCTCAGATACTCTTCAGTGAAGGCTTTCTACCTAAGGTTATTCTAAAAGCTTGCTCTATAACCCACATAAGACCTGGTCTATGAGTTTCCCTAATACCCGATAACTAAGGAAATTGTGGCATGGATTCATGAATTTGTTTTGAGACGGTGTCTCAATATAGCCCAGGCTAGCCTGGGACTTCCTATGTAGCCCAGGCTGGCCTTCCTTCAAATTGGAGATCGTCCTTTCGCAGCCTCCTGAGTGTTGGGACAGTTATGTGCCACTGTTCCTGTCCGAGGCAGCTAATTTTGAACAAAACCTGAAGATAAAAAGACATGCCACTTGGGAGGTAAGGAAGGAGGGATCAGAGAGGCATTATACAGCTAACTCATGGAACCTCCCGCTTTTTTTTTTTTTTTTTTTAGACAAGATATTGCTATATAGTAGCTGAGACTGGCCTCAAACTTGCTTTGAATCATACCATTTTGTACCACCAACCTTTCTGCTTCTTTCTAGATCCATCTTCATGTCTTCCAGAGCCAGAGGGACTTTCCCGACTAGTTCTGCTTCCTTGAAACCAGTCTCTAGTTGTCTTTCTCTGTGTGTCTTCCTTCTCAGTTTTTAAAAAAGCTCTATTTCTGTATTTTATGTATATGGGTACTTTGTCTGCATGTACCAGAAGACAGTGTCAGATATTTGTGAACTGCCATGTGGGTACAGCCAATTGGACTCTGGGACTTCAGAAGAGCAGTGAGTGAGTGCTCTTGACCCCTGCGCCATCTCTCCATTGAGAAGGAAAGAGTATACAATTGAGACAAAGAGGTCAGTGCAGGTGAACCTGGACATCCTAAAAAACCATCAGGAAGAGTTGTGAGCTCGTGAGAAATCAAAACCTGGAGTAGTGAAATGGCTGAAGGGAAATAGAGCACTGCTCGCTAAGGCTTTTTATTCAGGAGAGAGCCATTAAAATATGGTTACATGAGGCTTAAAACCTAGATGAGAGAGCCAGTAGTAAAGGCGGGAGTTTAATGACTAGAGATAGATTTAGTGAGCAGTGACATCTTAGCAAGGTCTTTCACAGGGAAGAGGGTTTCTACAGTAGGGTAAATTGGAGAAGACCAGTTTGAGATTTCAGGCCATGTCTGTAGAGTCTTGAAGAACTCGAAGCTCTCAGCTATAAATACCTTTCAAGCCCAAATCCTGTACATTAATCACTCCCACCTCACATTTCAGCTGAGGCTGTGTTTCCTTCAGGATGAAATGTGTGTGTTCTTGGGAGCTAATCCTCTCCTCTCCTCTTCTTTTCCTAAAGTTTCTGAAGATATTTGTGCAGAGGGAGCTTGGGTTCTGTTTTTACAAAGGACAGAAATTGGCTGAGGCTGAGCTGGCAGGATTGAAGTTAGGAACACAAAAGGATTGCCTATGCTAAAGGATTTTAAAAATCATCTGAGTTACCATTTGTGTGATCTACATTGTATATTATTCCTTCTGCTAACACCAGGCAAGGTGGTTTTCTTCTAGTCTGATTTTATGATTGCACAGCTATTCTTGTTCTTTCCTGCATGATTATATGCTGTTACTTTGGCCTTTTAATATGTGGTATCTCTAAGAAGAGTGTGTGGGTAGATTTCACGGAGGAGCAAAAACTAGCAATAATCTAATTTCAGCCTTTGCTCAGTTTTTGAGCCCAGATGTTAGTAACAAAAAGCCTTTTCTGCCCTTTTTGGTAGAGGGGTGCAGCTCAGTTGGTAGAGTACTTGCCTAGTATGCATGACACCCTGGGCCCCACTCCCTGGCACCACGTAAATCAAGCAAGAGTAGCACACACACCCCAGCATGGAGAAGGTTGACACCAGTCTGGGTTATATGAGACCGTATCTCAAAACACAAACCTTGTTCCAGGACCCATTCTAACCGGAAGCAGAGCCTCTTGGAGTGGACTTTGGTAGCTGTGTCTGTGTTGAGCTCTGCCAGAAGCCCACTGTCGGTCACGAACCTCTGCCTCACTGAGGTTTGCTCACAGTCCAGCAGCCCAGCCTGGGACATATGCCCTTTTCCCTCAGCAGTTTTATAATCTTTGTCTTCTAGACTCAGAGCTGCATAAACTGTATTGGGGTGGATCTAGCAGAGTTGCACTGCCCTGAGGCCAGACCTATGGAGTCAGTTATTGTCTTCCTGAGACAGTGAGTGCCCCAGGACTTTCCCGTATGATCAGGAGCAGGAAACTAGATGATACCATCTGATGAGCCCAGGCTAGTTTTTCGTCCAGCCATTCCAGGAACAGTTTACTTTGGCACTCTAAGGAATGAACAGATTTCATTGTTTGATGTAAATCTCTGAACTCTCCACTTGGGATAGAGACCAGA